AGTCACTGAGTTCCATATCAGACCTATGCTGGGTCAAGAATAGTTTCCCAGAAGCATCAAAACAAACGCACCTCCGGCAAAGCTCAACGCATAGCATGTCAGACCCACAAAAGCTAAGACCCTCCAATATGCCAGGCATGCCAACATGATCCTCACGCTTGGCAGCGTGATCCTCCCTAGCTTGATGTGGCTTTTAAAATGATAGATGTTTACTTTGATCCCCAGGGCAGGTTTCAGCCTGAAAAGCAGGCTGTGGGGAAACCTGTCAGGTCAATGACATTCAAAGACATGACAGCGAAGACAGGAAAGCGAAGAGAAAAATGAATACTGTTTTACTTTGGCTTTACAATGTTTTAAGACATGAGGGTCTAACATGCTCAGCAACATCGGATGTGCAAGAAGATATATGGGAAGCAAACCACGTTAGACCGGCTGATGTTGCACCCCCCCCGTCTAACTTGGTAGGCCAAATCAATATTTGCGCTATAGGCTTTTCATGTTAGACCCCAGATATTGGGGTCTACTCTGTATACCTGAGGTCCCTTTGAAGTAGTTGCCCCTATGTTTGAGAGGGTGGTTGACGTTCATCTAAGCAATTGGAAAAGCGCAGTCGGTCACAGAAGGCTTGCTAGGGCACTTTTCAGTCTCTTGAGTTTATTTGATTTTGTTATGTTATATTCAATAACGACTTAGCCTGTACATACGCAATTGAGTTCTCCAGATATTTAGTTTAATCAAGAAATGTCTATGGGAGTTGAGGGAAAAAACCGTGTAAGGAGTTTGATATAAAACAGCCTTTCAGAGCCCTGGCAGTGCGTAAAGGATTCTCCGATTCCTGTCCCCGCTGTCACAGACTAGCAACCTGAGTAGGCGCAGCCCTGACAGTGAGGCAACGACCGGCAGCTGCTCTGATGGGCTGCGCAGATGTTTGCAAATGCTACGGCTTCCCGGGAAAGCACCAGTGAAATTTTGCGAAAGCTTCGCGAATGCGCCGCTAAAGTTCAGGTTCCCAGCTTGAGGCCCCCCCAACATTAGGTTGAGCTGTGCCTGATTCTATTTGGCACAATTGTCGCACAGATGCTGCAAGTGACCCTGAGTAGCTGTGGAAACGTTCAACCTTCTCCTGGGGTCATGCTGCAAGATCTCTGTCCCTATTTTGCGATACTATGACATGTTCCGGCTCACGTTAGCTAGACATGGTTGTAGGACCATGCTTCGCGATGAGGCCGCGAAAGATATCCAAACAGTTGCCTCAGCAATCCTCCTCAACGATGTCGTTTTGAAGTCACGAAAGGCGACTCATCAGCTCTGAAACCTGCTGGGGAAGCTCCGCAACTTGCTCCAGAATCAGCTCCGCTTCGTCGCTACTCACGGTGTGTGCGCGAAGTAGAGATTTGAGTTCTTGCTGTCATTAGGCTGTGGCGCGCCAGGTCTTTGAACCGAGTGAGCAACCCGGGAGTAAAACTAGAGGAGGGCGTTCCAACGGCGCAGACTTTTTGTGAGCCACCCCGAGGTAAAGTTTAGAGGAGCAGGACAACGTAGACCTTTTCTGAGCAACTCGAAGGTAAAGCTTAGAGTCGAGGAGGAAGGCGCACTTCTAACGGAGCAGACTATTTGTGAGCCACCCGGGTTCAAAATTTAGAAGAGGAAGGTGCCACTCCAACGGCGCAGGCCTGTTGCGTAGACCTTTTGCGCCACCAGACGGTGGAATTTATTTATATAGATGAAGAAGTTGCCGTTTCGATGTTGTGAGCCACCCGAGGTACAGTTTAGAAGAGGAAGGTGCCATTCTAATGTAGCAGACCTTTTTTGTGACCCACCCGAGATTGAAATATTCAGCAACCCGAGGGCGAAACTTAGAGGCGCCACCCTAACCCGATGGTAAAGTTTAGATGGGGAAGGTGGCCATTCCAACAGCCCATGCCTTGTGATTCAGAATAGGAAGGTCATTCTAACGGCGTAGGCTTTTTGTGATTGGCAAGCCGCCCGAAAGCTTAGAGGCGGAAGGTGCTATTTTAACAGTACCGGGCCTTGGTAGGCCTTAGGCCATCCGGTGTAAAATGTTCATGAAAAAGGCGCCGCTCCAACGCAGCAATAAGCTTATGTATGTCTTGATTTGTTGCGCGTGCGAGAGAGTTATTAAGTTTTGCGCATATACGCTTTTTTGGACGTGCGCCGTGGCCCTTTCATAATCAAATTGGCGTGTTTGATTGTCGATCGCGAATGAAGTGATTTTAGCGCGAATGAGCGATATGTATGGCGTTTCGTTCTTTGATTTTTGTTCTTATTTATATTATTGTTTTTAATTTTTCTGTTTGTTGGACCTTTGCCAGCGCGGGTTGGAAGAAGATATTCTTTATATAATTGTTTTGTTTATCTATTTACGAAAAAGTAATGATAGCAAATAGAAATTGTTATATAGATGGAGAAAGAAAAATGTATAATTCGATATATATATTTTTTTTATAATAAATTCGAATATATTTATGTATTTTTATTTTAATAAGAAATAAATTATAAAGTAATAAAATGTTGTATTTTTGTATAATAGTATTTTATAAACAATTTGGAAGATTTTTAATGAATATATTTAATATCGAAAACAAAATTTTTTGTATTCGAATTGAATTATTCGATTTATGTTTAATATACGAAATTTCCGTATTATAGATATTTAAGAAGGTTTATATATTATTTATTAATATATTATTTATTTATATATTATATTTTATATTATATATTATTGATTAATATAGTTTTTATTAAATATTTTATATTAATTTTTAAATACTATTTATTAAATATTATTTATTAAATACTAATTATTATATATTAATTATTATTTTTTATTTAATTAGCTTTAGTTCTAATTAATATTGGATAGATTTCGTGGTAGGCGCAATACTTTGTAAACGTTTATGTATAGATTTCGTGGCAGGCGTAGCACTTTATGAACTTCTATATGCAGATTTTGTTATAGGCATAATATTTTGCGAACCTTTATGTGTAGATTTCGTGATAGGTGTAGCACTTTCGGAATTTCTATGTGTAGATTTCGCTGTAAACACAGTACTTTGGGAATTTTTTTATGTGCAGATTTCGTGGCAGGCGTAGTAGTTTGTGAGCTTCGAGGTACAGATTTCGTGGCAGGCATAGCACTTTGGAAACCTCCATGTGCAGATTATGAACTTCATACGCAAATTTCGTGGCAGGCATAGCACTTGGAAAATAGTCGCATCTTATTTGCGCATTTGCCATCAATTTGATCGACCTGTTGAATTTGATTTCAATGCTATGCGCGACGTCTTCCTAAGGCAGATTGACGTATGTTTATTGTAAGGCCACCTTTAGTGTCGAGTAAGCCCTATACGCCTCTGTTAGATGGCCTCGGATTTGCATTTTGGAGCCCCTATTGTTCCTAATAATTATATTATTCCTGCCTTCCAAGTGAAGAAGATGCAATTTGCTCCGCCGGGACTGATTGGGGATTTTGGACGTTTAATAAACCAGATATATTTTCGCAAGGACTTGTAAACCCATGCCTGGTTGCCTTGACTCCTTCATTGATTTTTTGGCCAGAATATAGATTGCATTGGCACGCACCTGCATTTGATGACCTGATTTGGACTGGAACGACCTGCCTTAGGTTTACCTTGACCTCACCTGGATTTGTAGTCTGCTTTAGTACATAACCCAATAGCTTCCCATCGCATGGGCCTGGACCTCGGATGATTGGGATTTGATAGCATATAACTAGATGTACATCCTAGAGACGGAATATGATTAATTTTTGCATGGATTGCCCATTCTGTACCAAATTAAACTCACACTGGCCAAAAACATCCGATTTGGCACACATATGCCTGACAAGTATGCCAGAGAACATGCAACAAGACGATCAGAATTTTCACGATCTCATGGAATTTTGTGGGGAACACTTTGGGAAACGACCGCGAACGGAGCAATCTGGACAATTCGACCGGAGATTTGGACCAAATAGATCCAACAGATCGTACAATTCCTCGGCCTCTTCGTCGGACGACCGAAAACTCACGTTCATGCTTGCTCGCCTTTGCCTTCGACAGAAGGATTAGTTGAACGGGCTGGCAA